CAAAATTTTGTGGGTAGTTTTATATCGGTAGATAAATTTTGCTGAGGGCTAAAATATCTTTCTTTTTAACTCGCTCGTGTAAGTACAGTTTAGTCTGGATGAGAAGGGCCATTTGAGACGCATAGCGAGATAAGGTCAATACATCAATCAAGCACGCTTTTCAACTTGTATTGGGCAAATCCGTAATCACTCCAGTTAAACCAGTCAAAAGTCATATACCTCAACACGGATGGAGTTCCATCATTTTAGCAATTATTAACTGGCACATGCTGGCTGACACAATAGCGGCATCTAGACTACTGGTTATTCTCTTTTTGATTGTGAAGGGGCATAATTTTGGTCGAGTGGTACTTCAACGTTCTATTTTTGACCTTTAGATTCGGATTTCATTAATATATCTTCTTTAGGCATAGGCCATGCTTACCCCAAATGTTGTTCCGCATCCAAGCTTGTTAGGAATCTCTCCTCCGACGAAATCATATCATCACACCGAGCAGGGTTTTGTTCCGAAGGCAAATAATTGACATTTCTACTGCAAGCCTCTATGCTCAGTGGGTTATGCGGCGGACTTAGTATTTAACGCAAGATAGTTCTGTCTAAGTTCACATCTATTCTGAAACTGTATCGACTCTTTGCGGCCAAGAAGTAAATTGACACGAATAAAGGGAGAGATTTTCAGAACAAGGCGCCATTCGTGTTATAACTTCATAGTCATAAGAATGTTTAAATATGATCTTTCCGGCATTCATCCATCATGCACGGATCCAGGACTAAATGAGTAGGCCTCACTATTATGTCGTGTGGCTTGTTCTATCCCACTCTATGTGTATTTGTGTATCTTTGCGTGCATCTTTGTATTATGTGTGCGAATGGGCAGATGCTTAGTGCCCAGTTTGAATATGACTTTTTCTTCCGGCAACCAAATCTATTAAATTTGTTGCTTCAAACAGCAAATACAATAGCAAAACCTGAAACTCACAATTTGTTGTTGGCATTATTAAATGGGAGTAAACTATTTTCTTCCATAACTT